GTTTCTCTTCCCAGCGGGAGATATGATCTTTAAATGCACCCGCTGGAAAATTGCATTTTTGTAATTGTCTTTATTTTTTGGTGGGTTTTTTTTTGGTCTTTATTCTCAATATATCACTGCTGCGGGGACTCTTGGCTCGGGACAGGTCAGGGCAGTACCAGCCGGGCTGGCGTGGGCACACGGGCTGGGCGCAGCGGGCACCGAAACCACTTGAGCCGGTTTCTCGGCATCTTCGGTCCTGGCACATCTCATCCCCCAAAAGCTGCCGAAGGCGTGGGTGGGCTCAGCCCTGGCTCCCACGGGTGTCCCTGAGCCCACAGTGCACCCAGGCCCTTCGGCACAGGCACGAACTGTAACCCCAGCCCTTAACCTCCCGGGCGCTCTTGTGCCATGCAATATTTTTTTTCGTGCAGGAAATGAGAGAAAAAACCCCAATTTCCTCTTTTATGCCCACAAGAGCTGGGGGGGCTGCGGGAGGCCCGGCAGCACCCAGGTTATTTTGCAACCGGGGCCACCCTCCTTTAGGTGCTGGGAGCCTCCCCAGGACCCTGGGGAGCAGCGGCGTGTGGGATTTTGGGGTGCAGAGGCTGGGAACTGGCCCAGGGCCATTTCTCCAGCAGATGGAAGCATTGCTTTGCTTCCACCACCCCGCAGGCTCCCAGTCCCCAGCCCAGTCCCCTGCTGGGAAGGCTGCGACTGGGGGGCTGCGCCAGCCACTGAGCCTGGAAGGAGGGAAATGGGGGGTTCCGGGGAGGCGTAGCAGCCCCTTTGCTGGGGGACACAAGGAGAGATGGTCCTCAGCCAGCTGGGCAAGGGGACACTGGGATGGCTGAGCCCCCAGTTTTCCTGCAAGCAGGAGGTGAGCTGCTGGCTTTGCACCCTTCAGCTTAAGGGCATACTTATAAACACTCTATTAATAATTAATAATAGCTTAATAGCAGTGGCAGTTTGTTAACACCTGTGCATTAATCATTTATTAGTTATTAATATGGACTTTAGTACCCTCTGAAAGTTGGTTTAGCATCCTTGATTAAGGGGCTTGCAGGGCTGACGGTGGTGATGACCAGGTGATGGGCTGCAAACCCCAAGCCCAGCTGGGCACTGCTGCCAAGTTTCCAGCCATCACTGATTTCAACCTGGGGGTTTGCTCCCAGTTTGTCACATGTGGGTGAATTTAATTTTTAAACAAGGTTGGTCAAACGTCATTAAACCACTGGCTGGACCCTGCTCTTTGGCAGCAACAGGGTCCTTGCCTGCAGCAAGGGATGCCCTGGGGTGCTGCACTTCCAGCTTCACCCGACCTCCAGCCCTCCCCGTTCTCCCAGTCTGGGTTTTCCTGCTGGTTTTAGGACAATCATCCTAAATTGAACTGTGGGCATTTAACATCTGCCTGAACCCTGGGACACCCTTCGGGCTTGCACCAGGCTGGAGCAGGTCTGGAGAGCACCAAGGCACGAATCCTGCACACGGTGCAAGCGGTTCTGACAGCCCTTCCTGGGTCCTGCCCAGCTCAGCCCTGCTTGGGCTTTCTCCGCTGACTTTGGCTTTTCTTATTTGAGCCACATGGAGAAGGAAAGGGGGTAAAAACCAAACGAGCCACAAAAGTCCCATTTTTTTTTTTCTTTTTCCCCCGCAAATACATTTCACATGCTCGTTACATATAAAACTGGGCCAGGTCTGCAGTGCTCAGACCTGCCTTTGCTCCCGGCTGCAGGGGCCCGTGCCTGACCCCTCCCCACCCCCCGGTAAAAAACCCCAGACACTGAACAAGGGCGCGCGGGTGACGCTGGTGGGACCCGTGGTAGGACACGGCATGCACGGCTCGGGGAGCGAGGGGGCACCGGGCATGCGAAGGGGCCATGGGCAACGGCTGGACCCACGGCAGGGGATGGATGGGGAGAGATGGGCAGCACCCCCCGCCGCAGGTCAGGGGCCGGATCCTGGCAGTGACCGGTTGCAGCCCAGGGAGCACCTCGCTTGAAGAGGGCCGGGTGCTGAGCCCACCAGCTCCTTTGCCCCTCTCCCCCCTGGGGCTCAGCCGGGGGCCACCCAATGCCCATGGGTACGAGAGCAGGACAGGGTGCAGGGGACGACCCGTGCAGCCGCTCTCACTTGTGCCCCACGCAGGGAAGTTCACAGGGGGCCTCAGCCCCGACCCCTCGGGAGCTCCTGCCTCCAGCGCAGCCCTGAAGGCCTGGGGATGCCCGGCAGGAGACGGGCAGCTGCCTTCTCCAGCTCCCGAAGCGAGCGTGCCCAGTCTGACCGCCCCGGCTGGAGAAGGGATACCCAGGTGGGGGGACGTGCCTGCAGGAATGGGGACAGAGGTGGGACCTGCAGCAACTCCTGGGGATGCACACAGTGAGAGGAGGAGGAGGAAGCAATGGGCTCCCCAGCCCATCTAGGTCCCATCCAGGCTCTTCCAGCTGTGCCAGCTCTGCTGCTTCTCCCACCCAAATCCCTACACCCCGAGCTGAAGCCAGCAGTGCCCTGGGCAGGGGTGGGAGGGGAAGCCAGGGACCATCCCCGCGGCAGCAGGGAGCGGAGCTCGGGACACTGACCCGCGGTCCCCAGTGCCAGAGGGTGCAGGATCCGGGCAGACGCGATGGAGATGCCAGCCGGGACCTTCTCCTGGCGTTTGCTTTTGCTGTTGGTTCCCAAGCTGCTTGTCCCAAGCCTTTTTCTCCTCTTCTTTCCTGGGCTGTACGGCCTCCCTGCACAGGATGAGCCAGCTCCTGCTCTCCCACAGACTTCGACTTCGCAAGTCAAAGAAAACGGAC